ATGTCTCAACCAGCAGCCTGTCTTTTAGGGCCATCAGAATTGTGCGCTGCTTTCATTAGGTTCCTTAATGGTTTTGGGGGTTGTCATGATGAAAGCCTGTCTACGGCTTGCTTACTTGAGAGATTTGTCTTTCCTTGTTTACTCCTCTGCCTGTGAGGGTCAACAGCTGCTAGAAATAATCGTGAACCAAATCACAATCAGCCAGGCAAGCACAAAGTCCCATACGTTGCTTCTGTAGCTCTTTCAGGGCCATTCCATACCCATGTGACTCCCATTGACCCTCTCGAGGTGGGGAATTACCAAACACATGCCCCTAAGGAACTGAGGAGCAGGAGAAAAAATGGCCCCCACACAGTGACACTCTAGGAATTTCCTCTATTGCAAATACAGTAGAGGCTAAGGGAAGCAGCACAGAGTATCACTCATAAGTGATATATCCTCCCCAAACTGCGCCTCCAAAATCTCCTGGCATTTCTGCCAAGGCACAGCACCCTGTTTGTAGCAGCTGCTTGGTTTATTAGAGCCTCTTACATCTCCCAGGCTCAGCTTACAATGAATCAGCTTGGATTCTTCACCCTGAGCAAAACCTAGAATTTTGCATGCCACTGGTCAGCCTCCACAGAGGTGACTGAACAATTCCAGGTTCTCCTCAAGGGAAAATGAGTCTGTTCTTCGTATGCCTGGGGGACTGGGTCCGGCTGCCTCAACCGAGCACCTCTTTTTAGGCTGCTGCAAATAGAAGAAGGAAAAAACTCCATGTAGCCTTAGGCATTTGAGTTTGTTGTAGATCTTCTTCGTGGTCTCTGTGCTTCACACCAATGGGATCTAGTGCGCCTGCACTGGATCTGCCGGTGCCGTAGCAAGCTCTCTTAAAAGGATTTTCGTGCCTGGCCCAACTGAGCATGCCCAGGAGCCCCAGTGAGCATGCCCAGAAGGGCAGGCACGGACATCCCGCCAGTTCTTTCCTTACCACCGCGCTGAGCAGACCTGTCTTCGAGAGGTCTGGCCGGATCACTGTTTTTGGTCACTTTTAGTGATCAGCTCTCATTTTTTTCTCTCAGTTTCTCTTCTGTTTTCCTTTTTCTTATCGGTTTTTTTTTTTTAAAGGAGAGTTTTTGTTTTTCGTCGTCTGAGGTAAAATTACCTCAGGCCTTCGGGCCACTGCCCCCCCCCCCCCCCCCCCAACCCTTCTCGTCGTTTGGACTTTTTCTTCCTCAGTCTATGGAGAAAAAGACAAAAAAGTCGAAGAAGTGGGGATTTTTTAATTGTTGCCGAACTTGTGGAAGCAAATTGGCTCCTCCGGACGGTCATAAGTACTGTATTTTCTGTCTTGGGGAGACCCACAATCCAGACTCCTGTGAACATTGTGCACAATTTTCAAACCAAACTCGGAAGAACAGAGCGGCACGTTTGAGAGTTTTCCTCTTGGAGAAAGCGCCTCAACCGATGGCTGACCCGCCAATCCATATGTAAATGACCTTGGAACGCTGGCCGGGACTGCACAAAGCAGCCAATGAACCCAGCCAGTGTCTTCCGAGTGGCAGTTTTTTCGGCCTAACACTAAAGGAGTGCATTTTAGAACTTTGGCACCCAAAACTCTTTTATTATAAGGGAGAGATACAAGGTTGCTGAAAACTGGATTTTTGTTTCATGTTCTCCCATGATCCCAAGGAACATACTGGCATATTTATCCCCAAATGTCATCACATCACATGTTTCCTTACAAGCAGCAGCCAATAATATGGAGTGGATTTAGGGAGGGCAGGAGATACAATACATTATATGGAATGGGAAAGACTGGACTTGGGGATCCCATTTTCCACATCCATCCTATGTCCACATAACATATATTTCCATCCTCAAAAAAGCAAAAGAAAATATTAACTTGGTAACTTCCGTCTGTCCGTCAGTCTCTGGGTGGTAAGCGCTGCTAAGCCCTTGCTCCACCCCCATGATGTTCATGAGCTCCTTCCAAAATTTGGAAACGAATTGTGTCCCCCTGTCCGAAATTACTTTGGAGGGTAAAAGATGGAGGCGTACAATGTGTGACAAAAACGCCCTCGCCAGTTTTTGGGCCGTTGGCAGAGAGGGAAAAGGAATGAAATGTGCCTGTTTAGAGAATAAATCAACCACCACCCAAATTACTGATTTCCCCTTGCTCAGAGGCAGGTCAGTAATAAAATCCATAGAAATAACGTCCCACGGCCTCCCAGGAGTGGGCAATGGTTGTAACAGACCTGGGGTCTTCCCCCCCCCCCCTGGCTTAGTTAGGGCACACAGTTGACAAGTGCGCACGAAGTCCAGCAGATCTTTGCACATGTGTGGCCACCAGCATTGCCGGCGCAGCAATTGAAGTGATTTCACAAAGCCCCAGTGGCCAGCCAGTTTCGTTCCATGGGCCGCTTGCATGACTTCCCTGCGGAGAGAAATAGGTACATAGAGTTTCCCCCCAGAATAATACAACCCATCCGGGTTACAGACACAGTCCTCCAGTCCCCCCACCAACTCCGCATCCTCTTTAGAGAATTCAGAAGCGTATCGGCTTTTCCAATCCCCTGCAGGCGGAGGGGGGGGGGAATCCGATACCGGGGCTGGAATAGGCGTGGGGAGTTTCCGTGCCTGGCTGCGCGTCACTACAGCTCCACCCAATTGGGCAGGGGTAAAGATAGAGTCAAGGATGACGTCCTGCAAGCTCTCATGTTGCGGGAGGCGGGACAAGCCGTCAGCCAGAGAGTTTGCAGAGCCAGGGAAATGGTGCAACGTGAACTGAAACTTGGAGAAAAAATCCGCCCATCGCAATTGTTTTGCATTCAAGCTTTTGGGCGATTTGAGAGTCTCGAGGTTCTTATGGTCGGTCCAAACTTCGAACGGGACCCTCACTCCCTCCAACCAATGGCGCCACGTACATAACGCCAGCCGAATCACTGACGCCTCCTTCTCCCAAATTGACCAGTGGCGCTCAGCGTCCGAGAACTTCCGTGACACATAGGCGAGGGGGTGCAAAAGCCCATCCTCCCCCCTCTGTAGAATCGCTGCCCCCATGGCTACATCAGAAGCGTCAGTTTGTACAATGAACCTTTTTAGTTTCGTCAGGGTGCGCGAGGACTGGTTCGGACGTGAACATGTGTTTGAGGCACTGGAAAGCCTCCTCGCACTCTGTGGACCATTTCAGTGGCGCCCCCGGCTTAGTGACATCAAAACCCTTCCCTTCGTTTTCAATAGATCAGTGAGGGGCAGGGCAATTTGGGCAAATCCTTTGATGAAGGATCTATAGAAATTGGTGAATCCGAAGAATCCCTGCAGTTGCCTATGGGTTCTGGGGGGCTCCCAGTCTACCACATCTTTGATTTTCCCAGGATCCATCTCCAACCCTCCACCCGAAATGCGGTACCCCAGGAAGTCAATATGTGTCTTGTGAAATTCACACTTAGACAATTTGGTAACAGTTTGTGTTTGTGCAACGTTTTGAGGACTTGTCTGACCAGTTCGACATGGGAGGGGAGGTCCTGGGAGTACAGTAAAATGTCATCCAAGTAAATAATCACCCCCTTAAATAAAAAATCATGTAGGACCTCATTGATCAAGTTCATGAAGACTCCCGGAGCCCCTTGAAGCCCGAAGGGCATCACCAGATATTTGAATTGCCCTAATGGTGTGTTAAAGGCGGTCTTCCCCTCATCCCCTTTTTTGATCCGCACACGAAAGTATGCATCCCTCAGGTCAAGTTTAGAAAAAATCATTCCTTTTGCCACTTCCGCGAGCAAGTCCTTTATGAGCGGGAGGGGGTAGGCATTTGTTGTCGAAACCGCATTCAGCCCCCTGTAATCCGTGCATAGACGCAGCCCCCCATCCTTCTTCTTCCGAAATAACACCGGTGCTGCAAATGGGGATGACGCCGGCCGTATGAAACCTCTGGCCAGGTTTTTATCAATGAACTTCCGCAACTCGGCTTTTTCTGCCGGGCCCATGGCATAAATTTTCCCTTTTGGTAGTTTCGCCCCAGGGATGAGTTCTATGCTACAGTCAGTCTTTCTGTGGGGTGGCAGCTCGTCCACCTCCTCCTCCCCAAATGCCGGAGCCAGATCGTGATACTCCGGTGGCAAAGCGTCCATCTCCTCGGGAGTTAGGACCGCACATGGGAAGCTTACAGGCGGGGACTCTCCCCACCCCCCATCCCACTTATGCGTCCGGCACTTGGGTGACATGAATTCAATTTCCCCTTCTTCCCACAGTATGTATGGGTCATGACTATACAGCCAAGGGGCTCCCAACACTAGCGCAAATTGCGAGTCCGGGGTGACAATGAATGAGCGTTGTTCCCAATGCTCCCCAGCCCCCAACCACAGTGGCATAGTCTCGTGTATACATGGTTTCATGGGAGCCCCATCCATTTGGGTAAAAATTATGGGGGATTTTAGTTTCGTGATGTCCACCTCCAACCCCGTTACTACATTTGGGCTGATCAAATCTCTGCCGCACCCCGAGTCAATCAGTGCTTTCACTCGCACATGAATCCCCAGAATCGGGTTAATCAACAACACAGTCACGAAAAAAAGAGAGGGGGGTTCTCTCACCACTATAGGCGCCTCCAACGGTAAGCCCTGCTGTTGTGAGCCCTCTACAACAGGACTCGCTCATTTCCCGCCACTTCAGGCTCGGATTCAGTGGAGTCTTCCTCGCCCCCTCCTGGGCCGCCTGCAGTGCTTTTGCAAATTTAGGTTTGGCGACCCCCTTCTTCGCTGGGGATGGCAGCTTCGGCTTGGATGGAGTAGACTTGTCCGACGGTTGCTTTTCGCCACAATCCGCCGCGAAGTGGCCCTTCTCTCCACACTTTAGGCGCCCCAACTTCATCCGCAGGTCTCTGGCCGCTTCTGATAGTCTCAACGTCTTCGGCTTTGGGGTTTGTTGCTGGGTCACTCTCCCGCATCCAGCTGCCATGTCCAGGCGCAATGTTTGGAGTCGGCCCTCAGCGTTCTCCGCTTCTTGAGTCCACGCCATCAGGGACCAGATCCACAGAACGCAACACAGTTTCTCTGATCCTACCCGGTACATCTCGACGAGGACGTGGTCTGGCAAGTCCTGCAGCTTGGCGGCTTGGTTTTGAAACTCAGCGGAGTATTCTCGCACGGACTGGCGCCCCTGTTTGAAGGTGCGCAAAAAAGTCTTAGCTCTTTGCCCCGCGTTCACGTCTTCAAAGCGAGTTCTCAGAGCCCACATGAACTCCCGTAGGTTATACAGTTCGGGGCCGCGGCTGTTGTGCAACCCCACATACCAGGTCGCTGCCGCTCCTTTCAGTCTCGCTGCGATCACATCAATTCAGCTGCTATCGTCCCGGAAAAGGTGCCCATGTTGCACCACGAACTTCTGCACTCTCACCGTGAAATATGCCCGTTCTTCCAGGTTGCCATCGAAAGTTGCCTCCAGCAAGTCTTTGGGTCTTGCTCTTGTGTGAATGGGCGCCGGTCCCGGTTGCGGAACCCCCGGGCCCCCGGGAGCCGGGATCGCCGGCCCCGCTGGAACGGCTAGTTGTTGGCCTGGGAGGGGTGGTGCTGGCTGCTGGGCCGGGATCAGCGGTTGTTGTGCTGCTTGCCTTGCCATGGCTGCCGCGATCGACCGGTCCATCATATCTGGGATGGCATCAAACACAGCTCCCACCGTCTGCATTAACTGTTGCAAGGTTCTGTCGATGTCCTCCACCCTCTCGGCCAATTCTTCCCGACCTTCATCTGGC